CCCGATAGGTTCGGAGCCAATAAATGTATATCGAAACGCTCGTCGGTCGCCCCCTTCTGATTCCTTAATTGCTTTCGTCTCTTCTTACTCTAGTGTAAAGTTCATGTACACTTTCATGTCATTGGTATTATCTGAATCTCCTTTGGAATGCTTCAGCTGAGGTAATGCCCACTGCACATGGCACCAGCCTACTGCATCGTCAATGACTGTCAAATTATTAAAGTAAAGTTTAGCTCATGACTTCTTTCACTTATCATGTCTTCCAGTTCCTCTGGCCTGGTTTGCCACAGAATAATTTCCCCTAATCCACCTTTGAAAGGAAATCCCCAACCATTTTAATTTCTAAAACAAATTTCTGTGATTTCACATTACCATTCTTTTTAATTTTAAGGTGCTTATTTCCCTTTGTCTTTTCTCTGCCTTGAAGGTTATTCTTCCCCCTTCCCAAAGACTCACACTGGGGCAGAAAAGTTCCCTGAGTTCCCTGTACTGCATGGCATTACTGACTGCGAAGGTAAGGAGGTGACATGGTCCAGAATATCCACCAATGCTACTTTGTTAATGGATGAAGCAAGGTGTGCAGTAGGATGCCTCTTCCTTCAATATTTCCTCCCTTCCACCCACCCCATGTGAATAGAGCCGTCAGTGTGGGAAATCACATCTTGCCCCTGAGTGGAGCCCCAGTGTGTTAATTTAATATATGTATATATATATCAATAACAGAATAAAAATACTTGTAACATAAGGATTGCATTACTTTTAAAAGTAAACTGTTTCTACAGCATTTCCCTCAAGACCCATACAGGAAGTATTTTCAGATGGTGTTTGTTTAGAGGCTGCAAGATATAGTCATACTATACGACGGATGCTACATAAAGAAGGTGTGTTATATTGGGGATGTTTTGTACGTCTCTCAGAAGTAGTTTTACATGGGTTCACCAAAAGAATGATAGTTATAAACAATGTGTGTTATTATCAATTTTATAGTGTCAGTGTGTCTCACAGTTTGTGGAGAGAATCATCAAGAATAAGTTGTTTTATCAGTATTATTGAGCAGGAGTGTGTTTTCTTTGACGCAGAGGAAACAAAGGATATAAGGTACATCAGAAAGTATTGTATATAGAGAGTATTTCTTGCATTGTGGATACTTGACAAACTACAGTATCTCTCTTTATGGAAGATCAGAAACAATGTGTAAGTGATTGTTAAATATCAGTGTTCATTTGCATTGAAGTATTTAAATGAGAAATGTGCTATTTCTGTAGGAGCTA